TACACATATTTTGCAAAGCCTGCAATCAACCCAGAACTGCACGGCAGTTTACAAACCGGATGTCAATTTCGTTAGTCCAGCCAAAACATAACTCCAAAATTCCAGCCTTGTTCAGCAAGGGTGGAAACTGGACTTTTAAAGTCATTTAACTCCCTTGCCTTGGGAAGATGCCTGTAATAACATTAGAACAGCATTATTTTGAAATCATGGTATGTTGAATTGTTTGGTTACCAAATATCTTCTTTCTGCACCTATACCAATAACATGGCAAAGGGACATAACTCTGGTCCATAGTTCGTTAATCTGCCAATTCTGCAACAATTCTAGTGGTAATCCTAACATCCCCATTACAATGATGAGTGAGGTTTCACATGTTCAGTGGGCAAAGGCTACTAAAACTATAAGAGATGTCAATCAATTGCTGTCCTCACAATAATCTGTAATTTCATACAAAACATTTTAAATCAAGTCATTCTCAAGTCCTTGTTAAAACAGCTTACCAAAACAGCCATTAAAAAGACTACAAACCAACATCATTTCATATGTCATGTTTGTATATATTTATATGTTATTGTACTTGAATAAAAATATCAAACAATCAAACGTTGCATTATGGTGTGGTACCCATTTATTTATTTGTCACGTGATGGGCTGGGAGTTCAAGAAGATGGCAGTCAAGCCAAGGTCCTGTGTATGTGATCCTGTGGCCATTGTGATGTGTTTTACCACGGCTATAGCTGACTGTCACGCAAGTGGTGCGAATGAAGACTTCTAATGCATGTGCAGTGGTAGAAACTAACAGTTTTAGTCCACTAGTCTTTATAATGATAACATATAGCAAAACCCATAAAAATGGCAAATTCCTACTGGTCCTTATGATACCTTCACTATTGGGCAGTTTGGCAAGGACCACAGGACTAGTGGCAGTTTCTAACACTGCATGTGTACTATGAATTATGAGACTTAATAACAAAAATCAAAAGAATGATTGTTGGATCATTCAACTGTTGATTTTATTCTTATCATCAGATCATGGTTGGATTTTATCATTTGAGTTCATATCCATTTCAACATTCTTACCATTGCCACTTTCGTTTGGCCATTTTGAATACTTCTGACATTGATTTCCATTGTCATACTGACACATGCATGAACTTGCATTCTTGCTATCATATTAGGTAACAAAAAACATTTTGACATTAATTTAATGAACAAAAGCAATTTTCTAAAGATCAACATTTTTAAAATGTTACTTTAACAAGATCTGTATAATTTGCTTATTAATTTCAATTTTACTTGGTTTTGTAGGCCATTGGCCCTTGTACAATATAAATCTAGTAAAATCTTAGATATTTTTTTATTTTTGTATACTTATCCTGCATTACTCCATTATGCATTTATTGCTTGTTCTTGACAGAGAAAGAGCTGTGAGAGGTCTTGCTGAAGAAGAAGTTGTTCCAACTGGTTGTGTGGCTAACCCTATCACACAGCTCCCATGTGACCCCGGAAGTGGTGACATCACTGATTATCACATTACTGCTAAAACAGAGCATCTGAAGGCACCAAGGGGAGGCAACTCTGCGATGGGTAGGTCACTTCGGACATAGTTATGCAGGGTAAGTATAAATATACAAATATAATTTTTTTTTTCTAGATTTTACTAGATTTTTTCACTTATCTTGCATTACTCTTTATGCACCTGCATCAGGAGGTATGGAGGAGGATATACCTTCAGATGTGACTTCCAAACTCTCCATAGACTCCACCAATAGGCAACAGCGATGTCTGGCATTGAGTGACCATTATGTCGGCAGGGAAGATGTCCAGGTATCATTGCAGTTGAAGAAATTAACTGTAGAGGTCGAAAGGTGGGCTCCGGACATGAGGAAGCATCAGTGGCATCTAGGGGTGGTGACCTGTTGAGCAACCACCAAAGGGCCGAAGCTGTGGATGCCTTCCACGTCTTCAAGGGCGACATCTTGCAGGTAGCGGCTGGCGAAGACAGTGTCTGAGCGCCAGAAGCAGCCTTCGATAATTGTGCAGATGGAGCATTTGCTATGAAGTGCCATGGTGGAGGCAACCGCCCGGATCTCATGTGGGTTGTTGGCTCTCGGAGGATCCAGTCCCGCGGCCTCGTAGGCCTGGAGAATGTGGGCACAACGCCACAGGGTGATTGTGTTGTGGCTAACTTCTGCCTTCGACGTCAGAGATACCGGTATGCTGAGGCGACAACGTTTTCCACAATGATTCTTGGAACGTTGTATGAAGCATCGCAGCTCCCGTACCGGACATAATAGTAGTAGTTTGTTCAATCCCAACTATCGAAGATAGGGGCGGGATGGTGAAGGATCTATTTGGCTATCCTGTGAGTTGATTCTTGGCTATAAAGTCCAAGCACAGCACAAGATGAACAGCTCAAGCTTAAATCTTACATGGGTGATGTCTTGGGCATGTTGTTCACTCACTTGTGCCGCTGTTGCAAGAGCCAAGAGGAAGATCGTCTTTTTGGTGAGGTTGTAGTACGACGCCGAGTGGACTGGCTCAAAGGGCGTGCCTCTCAGCAGAGTCAGGACCACGTTCAGATCCCAGGCCGGGAGTCTGAACATGGCCTTCTGGTCCTCCAGACGAAAAGAGCATAACGGCGCCTGTAGTTCTGGGACCTTAGACATCTTTTGATCTTCCAGAACTGCCAAGGCCGAGTTAGGGGCCAACATGGTTGGTCGTGATGGAACTGCCCTTCAGATGACGCTTGTGGTGCGGGAACAGAAGATATTCTGCTAAGAATTAGGGTGATGCAGAGGCAGGATTCTGGTGTGTCTCCTTGCAGAAACTCTCGAAGGGAGTGCCACGTGTCGTCATAGAGGCCCCTGGTGGAAGGTCTGTACACCAAGGTGACTGCTTTCGCTGCCCTTGGGGAGAAGCCCTGGGCACCTAGAGCTCTTTGTAGATGGACGAGGCGTGAAGTTGTAACCTCCACCGAACAAAAAATACATGGGACACATGAGGATCTAATGATCAAACTCAGTTTTGTGTGTGAAAATGATATGAAAGAAAAGGAAATCCATGATTAAAATTGTCTTTGAATATGTGTATTGGAGTTTTTGTTTATCATGTGTACAATATTATCTGGATACTTATTTATCAGTTGTTTATGTGCATTGTCATGTTGATACACGTGACATATTCATACATTGTAGTAAAGCTAAGAAATATTGGCGCAACTTCTAGTGTTACAAACTGGGCCTCTAGTTGAAAAATCTGTGTAATAATTTAGGTTTTAAAAAATGTATCTGATTATTGTGTGGTATAACTGTTGAATGAAAGTCACCAAGACTAAACATTATAAGCTACCCAAATATTGTCATTTTCAGATTGAACTGAAAGAATCTTGTTGCTAATACTCATGTAACTAACGTCAATTTCGTATTTATGTATTGTTACATTAACCGAAACTGTTGTTGTGCTGCTGTACACCCTGATACGATACAAAGGCATCAAATGTGTCACATGTACACATGACCATGTGCTTTGATATTTATAGCATAACCCTAAATAAGCTCCGCCAACTGTGATAGATGAAGACGCCAAACATGACCGATTTGATTTCATATTAAAACTATAGACATATATCTAGATATGGAGCCATTTGTGGTATCCAGGGTTTGTCATTCAATTTGATACGAAGTTTGATGGTTTTTGGTGACAAGAATCACATACGTTTTTCAAAAAGCTTCTCTCGACACTCAATTGTGTTTACGTTTGCCAGTCACTGTTGGAAACTGAAACACTGCCACCTTGCAGGCTATTTATAGTATGGGTGGGGCTTTTAATAGTAATGCAGGATAAGTAAAAAAACAAATATGATATAATAAATAAACATTTTAAGTGTTCACACATTATCATTTCATTTCAATCACAATATGTTTTAGACAGTGACATTTGTAAACACAGATTTTCTTAGAGGTAAGGCTTCCATAATGTATCTCAAACAGTTTCTAAAAACGTACACGTACATTTACTGCTAATTAATTTATAACATATGTCATATAACACATTTACTGCTAATTAATTTATAACATATGTCAACATTGTTAAATCGTCCATACACTGGCAAATGTTCATTATGAAGGGCATCATAGGCTTTACACTCTAAAATAAAATGGACTTTGTTTTCATTTGAACCTCATTTAAGAATAAAAGTGAGATTATACTCGGGTCCCAGCAAGTTGGCTTCAAGTTCCTCAAAGCTCAAACACCCCTTGGTCTGTCTGATGGTCACATTTTAAGGTGTGTATCAATCTATCAGTTAATGATGGTGAAATTACACAGAGACAATGTCTCCAGTTCAAACTGGCCAATGTCTATATCTAACTTTGTTTACAATACTATGTGTATCTTTATATAAAGTAGCTCTGAAGACAACTATTAGAAAATCTGTCAAAATAAGAAAACTCTGGCTAATTATGTCAGTTTTGAATTCCTTGGGATCAAATAATATCACTACCCTTAAATCTGAAAAATAACACTGACATAGAGATAATCAATATCTTCTCTACTTAAAGGTTCTTCTTGTTTGTTTCCACTCAAAAGGTATAGATCTAATGAATATTTGCATATTGTACAGTGAGATACAACATAGTGTGTTTCCTTGTTTCAAGATGTTTCTTTCTCTCGACCCATTATTAAAAATTACGGATAATTCTTTCTGTAGATTTCTTAGTTAATGTAACTTCATGTCGATGTTTGTTAACTTCAGTAACAACTGACTGGGGGTGGAGGTGTGACGGTGTGAAGGTGATTTTACTGCACTAAGTTGAGTCAAAACACTTGACCAAACTCAGAAGAATCAATTCAATATTCGTCTGTGTATTCTGAAATGGAATAACCAATTTATCAAACATTGAGGGACACAAAAGATAGCTATTCTGCTTATTTGGGGTCTTATTTGATTCCTAATTATCACTTCTGTACAATAATGACATCGGTGTCTCGTGACTTACCAGGAATCACCTGCCATTTTGTTGACGGAAGTAAACCACCGAATGCCTTTACGCATGCCCACTGTCCCTTTGAACTTTAACATCGACCCCGCGTGGGGCTATTAATAGATGTCAGCGAGGTCGCGAGAGACGAAAGTTCCCACAGTCGTGTAGTGGAATGTAGGGTATCGCAAATCAGAACCATGCCATGACTTGGGTTGGATTTGTGGGGACGAATTATGCGTCTTTCATTACGAAGTGCGGTGAAATTGACCGCTTTCGTTGTCTTTATTTTATTTGCGAACATTTTACTTTTTGCGCATTATGACGAGCTCGCTGATGCTTATCGGGGAAAAGTTGGTGACAGTCCTTCGAAAGTCCAAGTCAACAATGGCGGAAACCAAAGACCTGTTGAAGATGGATTTAAGAACATTGACTTCCATAGAAAGCAAAGAAGTGCAAAGTCTATTCCCGAGGAGGTACAGAAGGCTGTTAACGCTGGCGGAGTGACAAGAAATGGAGTGCTCGACAACAGATTGCTTTTCAAACATCGTCAACACAGGCGGACAGAACTTTCTGACATTTTCATCAGTGTAAAAACTTCAAAAAAGTACCACGAGTCACGCGTTGGAGTCATCTTAAAAACATGGTTCACTTTAGTCAGAGAGCAGGTGAGATTTTCGTTTATTTAAATATCATCCTTACAAAATTTACTTTGAACATGTTAACAACTCTTTAGCCGCATGTTGTTTTAACTGTTAGACGAGTCTTGGTCTCGGTTGAGTGGCTGTAACGGTACACAATGCTCAGACAATGGTGTGAATCACTTCACAGTTTTGATTTGTATATTGACTTGGGCTGTCATTAAGCCGACGTGTGTATAGAATTGATGACAAATCGTGTCTGACTTTGTTTGTTTTAATTGTGACTACACTTTACCCGGCTCGTCAATAGGACATCGCTAACCACCATTGGCTTGTGATAAAAAGAAAAAACATCTGGCAAGTGGTTCCCAGAGTTGGACCATATTTCGTGCAATGGATAAAGTTTCAGACTTTGCAGTTCTTTTACACCAAATTGGCTTAATATATTCTCAGTCACTTTTACATGTTTATGCCCAAGTTTCTATTTAAGACAAAGACAAAAATTAGCATTGAGTGGCACTTGTTTTTCTACGCATTAGGCAATGTTAATTAAATATTTGTTCTTTTGTGTTTTTGTTTTCAAATTGAGTATATTATAATATAGGACAATTTACATTTCAAATGACAACATAAACTGTTATAATGATTGAAAAGGGATTGGCACCATGGACTTGTGGTCTAATTTAAATAACTTTATTTTAGTTATCTTTTGAGTTTGTAGCTAATCCTGCTTGAACGATACAAAAATGTGTACTATGTTTATGTTTTCTATCAATTTTATTTCAGTTTATTTCACAATTTGTAGCGAAATTGAAGCTTTGAGAACTGGTTCAGAATTGTAACCTCAAATGGTACTAGTCAATGAAGTCATTGTTGTTTTTTTGTTGTCCTCAGCTAAATTTAGTAGTCTCTGGCTAGCAAAAATTTTGAAGGCTTACATATTGTATTACTTTCTCTTGTAACCACCCAATCCTTATCAGTCAGCCAATTGAACAAGCAGATGGAACTGGAAAACTATTCTGCCCTAGTCGCCATGAGGCATGACAGGTACTGGGGACCTATTCTGCCCTAGTCACCATGAGACATGATGGGTACTGGAGACCTATTATGCCCTAGTCACCATGAGACATGAAAGGCACTGGGGACCTATCCTGCCCTAGTCACCATGAGACATGATGGGTGCTGGGGACCTGTTCTGCCCTAGTCACCATGAGACATGATGGGTACTGGAGACCTATTATGCCCTAGTCACCATGAGACATGAAAGGCACTGGGGACCTATCCTGCCCTAGTCACCATGAGACATGATGGGTGCTGGGGACCTATTCTGCCCTAGTCACCATGAGACATTACAGGGTGCTGGGGACCTATTCTGTTCCAGTTGTCAAGAGACAGGGTGCTTGGGACCTATTCTGCCTTTGTCACCATGAGACAGGGTTCTCGGGACCTATTCTACCCTAGTCACCATGAGACAGGGTTCTGGGGACCTATTCTGCCCTCGTCACCATGAGACATGATGGGTACTGGGGACCTATTCTGCCCTAGTCACCATGAGGCAATGTGCTGGGGACCTATTCTGCCCTAGTCACCATGAGACATGACAGGTACTGGGGACCTATTCTGCGCTTGTCACCATGAGACATAACAGGGTACTGGGGACCTGTTCTGCGCTTGTCACCATGATACATGGCCCTTATGAGGACATTGCTGAAGGAGAAATGTAACCAACACAACCCTCCCCTTCAACTTGTTGCCTGTAATACTCAGCCATTGACATCTATCTCTCATTATATGCCTCAATCTGACTAGTATACCACTGGACATTGCTTCGCTGGGACTTGACTGTTCAATGAGATTCCTAGTGTCAGAAAATCAATAATCATCTTGTGAAATTCAAATATTTCATCTATTGATGTCACTGCGACGAGACACCTCGAGGTGATCAATCCTTCATTGTCACTTAACAAAAATCACAGCTATCTGAGTTAATGTATTTGTCAGTTGACAAATTGATTATTATAAACTCTCTGCATATTTGTCACTTTACTTCTAACAGGTATAGTTTAATCTCTGGTACTGATATGTAGAAATTGTTTCCTTCTATTTTTGTTTCTTACAACTGTTACAATCAATAACATTTTTTTACCCTGTTAATATACATGCTTCAGTTGCTTCATCGCATGCTAAGGTTGTCAATGTTGTCTCCACTGACTGAGCATGCATCTAAAATAAACTTTCAAAGAGCCAAATCACTAGAATGTCCCTATGGTAATCCTGGAAATGTAAGAAGGAACATCATGGACCCAAACAAAAGATGAGAGGCACCAGATACAGTGCTTGGGTTTTGAATCAGATAGTCAGTATTGATTATTCTAAGGCAATAACTAATGCTGTCTAGGCATCTAAGCCTGTTACTATTACATGTCATATTTATCAGTATTAAATTTGCAAGGGAGCACACTATCAATAGACTCTGTATGCTGGGACAAGATTATAGGACAGCTGACAATCAAATTCCATACTGGAGAAAGTTTGCCAACAGTAATTTGTGTAGCGCCAGTTTAGATCAGTTTGTTAGTGGCATGGGCATGTAACTTGCATGAGTCCCAGTAATAATATAGACATGGCTGGCCAGTGTTGGTCTTGTTACCTAAGTCTGGCATGTCCATTTGTTTTACAATAATTGGGATACAGTATTCAACGTAATAAGCGCCCAGGGTGCTCTCACAATTAGAAATAGGGGGCGCTTATTAGAATATTATTTTGAGTTGAAAGATCGTAAATTTCCTGGTTTATTCGAACAGCCTGAAATGTTTACATACGACAGATATATTTTCAAGAATTTAATTGCTCATAATTAAGGGGGCATATAACACACGTGTGCGTATTATACACGAATAAATAAGTCTTGTGTACATTGATCAATCGGAAGGGGTCCTGATTGGGATTGTTCACTAGCCAATATATTAGCAAATATCGCCGTGGGCGCTTATTACGTCGAATATGGTATTTACTTTAAACTTGATTTCCTACTTTTGTGATGAATAATGTCATCATATGAATAGGCTCATCTGTTGTAACGATACCCTTTGTTCTCTCTGTCTAAAACACAGCCTCATTTTGCAGTTTCGAAAAATATACACTTACTGTATTGGACATAATAAGCGCCCCGCTCTAATATGCGCCAACGCCGATATTTGCTAATATATTGGTTAGTGAACAATCTCAATTAGCACCCCTTCCGATTGGTCAATGTACACAAGACTTATATATTCGTGTATAATACGCACTATGCGTTACGTGCACTCTTAATTATGGGCAATTAAATCCTGTAAAAATATATCTGTCGTATATATAAACATTTCAGGCTATCACCATAAACCACGAAATTAACCATCTTTCAACTCTTTCAACTCCAAAATAATATTCTAAAAAGAGTCCCCTATTTCTAATTTTGAGAGCGCCCTAGGTATTTATTACGTCGAATATGGTATATTCGGTTTTTGCAATAGTTATATATGGAAATGCTTTACTTTACTTCTGGAGTTTTAGACTTTAGAGTTAAGTGTAACATATGTATGATGACTGTTCATCTGCAGTGGGTATTTTCTCCGTTGTCTGTTGATGCCGCATTAATGGCCAGCATCAGTCTGTGTGGCACCTACAGAATGTCAAGTTGTCGTGAACTCAGATGGCATTCAGGATTTATGTCTTCTGGGAAAGAAACAGGAAGCAGTTAATGGAGCAAAGCAAGCCGACATCAAATTTAATAATGAACATCTTCCGTGGGCTTGCGTTTTTACTCATCACTAATATCTTGTTATCGATCCTTTATTATTTTTTTCAGACATATTTCTTCACAGACTCAGAGGATAAAAACTTTCAAGACAGAACAGGTAAGGCCAAAACCTATCCATTAATCGTTTGACAACCCTGCTGTCTCCATGATGAAGGAAAGTGTCTTTGATAGGCATTTAGAAGTTGGTAGAGCTTAGTGGTTAAAGTGTTCGCTCATCGAGCCAAAGACACAGGCTCGATTCCCCACATGGGTATGTGTGAAGCCCATTGCTAAAATATTGCTAAAAGCAGCGTGAAACAAAACTCACTCACTAACACTCTCACTCACTCACTCACTCACTAACACTCTCACTCACTCACTCACACCGTTTCCCGACTCCGTCCACAAGGGGCAGATAACTGTTGGTGACAAGCCTACACAATGTGTCAGTACTGCTCAACTTATCCAAAAAAAACAATATAGCATTGTTCATAGATGATTAAGGTTTTTTGTCATGCATAAATTACTTGGTGTGTGGGGGTGGGGGTGGGGGTGGGGGGGGTGGGGGGGGGGGGGGGGGTGTTCAAAAGATGTTTATGTTAAGAATTTCAAAAAAGAAATTTACTTATGAAAATAATGTGCCAAACTATTCATTCGATGTTGCTAAATGTTTGTTGACATGCGTGCCTCAATATCCTTGCCAAGAAACTGCAAAAACACTAGATTAAAGCGGCAAGGAGAGATACCAGAATCCTAAATCATCTTCCCGGGGAGGAAAGATGGTTTGTGATAGTAATAAATAGTCTTCTTGTCTTGCCCATCTTCTCCTGGTTTGACTGCCTGGGTTGATCTTTGTCTGTAGCAGTAGTTATTTTGGTCAATGTTTGGATCAGACAATTGATATGTATTATTGTGCTGGATGCTGTGCTTGCATTTGTTCTGCTGTAAATATGATCTGTTTCTTCATCATGAACAAGTGATCAGTATCTTTACTTCAGTCTTTCATTAGTCGGGAGATCAGACAAGTGTGTTTGATGCAATGTTTGGAAATATCTGCGAAGAAAGTATGAGCTGGGTTGGTTGTCTTTTCCATCATGATGAACATGTTACTGATGACCACTGTTCATTGGAATGGAACTGGATCATTTAGGAGATACATCTATTCTGTTTTAAATTTTGAGGTGGTTTATCAGTCCCAGATGAATTCTGCTATAAAATTATCAACATTCTGCGGTAAAATTATGAAAATTCTCCGGCTAAAGTTACAAACTTTGCAGTGAATTCCGTAAAAAAATGACCATTTCCCTTTAAACATTCATACAAACTCATTTTTTTCTTTAAAATGTTTAATCTCTTACATTGTGATGTTTCAAGACATGAAATTATACAAATACATATGCATAGTGTCTGATATTTATTTATTTATGTAGATCTAGATCTAGTCATAATACCGCAAGAACATTTAAAAGAGAGAATGATATATTTTTAATTCATATATATATTTATATATTCGTTTCATTGTAGGATTCATATTTAGTATGTGTGAATCACATAGAATAGAAAAGCTTGAAAATAAGGAAAATTTGTGTATTGATTGATAACAAAGGCATATTCCGAAATCTTTCTGCTATTGCGGAATTTGTCTATGACTGGTTCATCATTGATTAAACACCACTAACATTGAGTGGTGTTGATTCAAATTCTTAAAATAAAAAGAGTCCTTTTTTATTGACTCATTTTAGTCATGGTGAAATGGAAATGAACTGATTTTGTTTTAAATTTTGAGGTGGTTCATCATTGAAATTAATCTGAGATGTATTTTCTAAAACAGACTTTTAACCCTAACCTAGTCCTTCAATGTCATGGTAGAATTGATATTGAGGTGTTTGTTCAGTGTGTTCCCTCAAATTACCTGTTGAAATATTGGTATTATTATTTGTTTCAGGTGGACATATGATAAATACTAACTGCTCATCAACTCATAATAGGTAAGAACAATTATCTCACTATGTTTGAATTAAAGTTTTGATTCTTGAATGATATATTCCGGATGTGTCGCCATTCACAGTCGTAACATTACTCCGCTGTACATGCCCTCAGTCTTTGTTTAGCATATTTCCTTCCTGCTTTTGAAACAAGCAGTGTATAACTATAAGAATTGAAATGTATGGAGGTGAGGGTGTCAATGTAGTGGTCTTACTTCTATGTGACAAAAGGTACTTTTATGCACTCGTCCATTGCTTGGTCTTTCCACGATCTTCTTGGGATTCCGGATTAGAATTAGTCCTCATCCTGAATCCTGTGGAGATTCCTGATTAGAATTAGTCCTCATCCTGAATCCTGTGGAGATTCCGGATTAGAATTAGTCCTCATCCTGAATCCTGTGGAGATTCCGGATTAGAATTAGTCCTCATCCTGAATCCTGTGGAGATTCCGGATTAGAATTAGTCCTCATCCTGAATCCTGTGGAGATTCCGGATTAGAATTAGTCCTCATCCTAAATCCTGTGGAGATTCCTTATTAGAATTAGTCCTCATCCTAAATCCTGTGGAGATTCCTGATTAGAATTAGTCCTCATCCTGAATCCTGTGGAGATTCCTGATTAGAATTAGTCCTCATCCTCAATCCTATGGGGATTCCAGACTCAGTCCCCATTCTGAATCCCTATCGGGATTCCGGATTAGAATTGGTCGCAGGCAACATATGCTGGTGGTCAGGCTCAGTGACTTGGTTGATTGTGTGTCATCGTATCCTGACAGTGTGGATCGTTGCTCACAATATCAATCACTGGGTTGTCTGGTACAGACTCGATTAGTTAAAGGCTGCTGTCATATAGCTGGAATATTGTTGATTGTTGCTTGAAAACAACAGACACATAATCTCTCTTCAACTTCCAATGGTAATAGTGGATGTGAAACAAATTGCATTTGGGAATCACGGTAAAATTGAGACATTAATTCTAAGTAGCCATGAGACTGTTTGCTTCATCTTATTGCTATTATCGTGGCAGAAAAAGAAAAAAAATTCTTGTTTTGAAAATTTCTTGGTCAAAATGCATAAGCACAGGAAAGTGTCGTGAAGTACTCTTTGTCATACCAAGTTCAATTTCCATTACTTTTGAATACATTTTGCTGGAACCAGGGTAGACTCATCCATAAAACAACAACCATGAACTGACCCAGGACATATATATTGTTATCTGACTTGCATCCATGTTTGGCCCAGTCGTCTGAAGCACTGCAATTCGCTGTGCAAAGTTGTGTCCCTTGGGCACGTTAAATAAACCTCTGATTGTGGGTTCGAATCCCAGTTCGCCTGGATTATGTTTCTATGTTTCTAAGTTTGTCAGCACCATACCTGTGCTCGTGGGTTTCGCCAAAGTGGTAAATGTCTTAGACCTGCATCACTTCAGGCTTTCCTCCCACATTAAGCTGACACGCTGCGATATAACTGGAATAATGTTTTAAGCGGCGTTAAACCCAACTCACTTCTCACTCATCCATGGGTCATATAATAAGAGCTGGTCTTGTGAAATATCTTATCTTGAATACAGAAACCTTTTTGTGCTGTGAAAAAGATTGAAAAAATTTATATGAAAGTATCTTTTTTAAATTTATTTGTCTGAAGGAAAAAGTAATTTGTAATTATTTCACAAGTGAACTGCAAAATTATTTAGAATTTGATAATACTGTTGTTACATTTGTGTCGGTATGTATATAGCTGGGATTTGTCTCGGCCTGAATATTCAGCTTCACTTATGAAGCAAGTGTCTGTAAAGTTCCCAAATTAATTCACAATTTGACAGTTGATATTACTATTGTGGAGACTACTGTCATGGCTGTGTACTCTGTTATAGAGCTGACTGTAATTCACTGATAGCAGGACCAATAATGAGGTGGGGGCTTTAATACATAGTTCACATTATTGCATTGATTGCAGTGGTAAAATACTATTGTGAACAAAATTTCAATTTGTATTATTTTTTCCCAATTTGCCTGCCAAGGCCACTTGCTTAATGAGTCCCTGTATGTTTTGTGATGCTCCAGGGATTTACCTAGAATTCTACACTAAGTGCCCTTGACATGCATGTTGGGAAAAAAATGGAATATTGTTCAAAATTGGATTTTTTGTACTGTTCTTATTTTTTTCATAAATTCTGAAGAATTTTAATTTGGACCTAGGGGCCAAATATTGGCCTAAGAGCAGGTCTAGATACATCTTTGTACTCGTTAATATCATGCATCACTGCAATAGCATCTGACATTCTGTTCCAGGCAAGCATTGTGCTGTAAAATGGCCTTGGAATATGACACATTTATGGACTCAAATAAACGGTAAGCATTTTACTTGTTTTTTTATTTTGCAAACTTATGTTTCCTTTCTGTGAAACATTTGCTTGTTCGTCCTTTGTATTTTTTCCTTCAGTCTCCCAGTAATGTTATAGACTAATGTGCTGTCCTCAAATAAAGTTGTGCACATGGTTAAATGAAATATTATTATGAAGGAACCCAAGAGATCTATATGAAGAAACCAGAAAGTCTTCAAGAAAAGATGAGATGAAATATATACTGAAGGGTTTATCAGAGCAACAATTATGTCGTCTCTCTCACTAAGTCGCTCACTCACCAACAGCATTCACATCCACTAAACCACAGCATTCACATCCACTAAACCACAGCATTCACATCCACTAGCCCACCCAAACCACAGCATTCACACCCACTAGCTCTCCCAAACCACAACATTCCCATCCACTTGTTCCCCCATACCACAGCATTCCCATCCACTAGCTCACCCAAACCACAGCATTCCCATCCACTAGCTCTCCCAAACCACAACATTCCCATCCACTTGTTCCCCCATACCACAGCATTCCCATCCACTAGCTCACCCAAACCACAGCATTCCCATCCACTAGCTCACCCAAACCACGACATTCCCATCCACTAGTTCCCCTATACCACAGCATTCCCATCCACTAGCTCACCCAAACCACAGCATTCCCATCCACTAGCTCACCCAAACCACAGCATTCCCATCCACTAATTATCCCATACCACAGCATTCCCATCCACTAATTCTCCCAAACCACAGCATTCCCATCCACTAGCTCTCCCAAACCACAGCATTCCCATCCACTAATTCTCCCATACCACAGCATTCCCATCCACTAGCTCTCCCAAACCACAGCATTCCCATCCACTAGCTCACCCAAACCAAAGCATTCCCATCCACTAATTCTCCCATACCACAGCATTCGCATCCACTAATTCTCCCATACCACAGCATTCCCATCCACTAGCTCTCCCATACCACAGCATTCCCATCCACTAGCTCTCCCAAACCACAGCATTCCCATCCACTAGCTCTCCCAAACCACAGCATTCCCATCCACTAGCTCTCCCATACCACAGCATTCCCATCCACTAGCTCTCCCATACCACAGCATTCCCATCCACTAGCTCTCCCAAACCACAGCATTCCAAGCCACCACTTAGCAAGCTGTGATGTGAGTGAGCTATAGCCCTGTAGATAGCCCCTAGGAGATGAAACCCTACCCCTGCCTGTTCACATGCGGTCAAACAAGTGACATTGATGCTCTTTGTGGGAACAGAGGTTTCAGCTAGAGTAGTCACATGGCTGTCATGTGATAGGGGTACCTGAACTGTTTTTGCCCCACAAGAGGCCCATTCATCCACATCTGTTTGGAATAAATCTACTTACTTTAGTTGATGGGGTTTTCAAATCAAATAAACACAAAGTTAACCGAACTGCTTCATTGCCTTGGACTACCAACATTAAAGAAAGTATGCTTCTAGTGGAAGTTAATTTTAACGACTGGAAATAGATTTTGTCCGACAAGAAAAGAACCACAGCATTATGTGCCTCCTTAAATATTTGAAAATATTCTTAAAAACAAAAGCATCTTCAAAGTTGCACCATAAATGGCTGATAGAAATATTTATGTTATGAATTAAGAGCACCCTGGAGAAAAACACATTTGAGATTGTGTAGTCGCTGATTGTTGAAGCCAAACGGGAGGCAGTGTTGAAGACCAGAGTTGTATGACTGCTCAATGTAATATAACTTGTTGGTAATGATGTACATAGGTGATTCTCCTGTTATGCTCAGAGGGATCACAATATGATTGTTCATAGCTGAGAAAATCAATTCTTTTATGGTTGTCTTTCTCGTTTACAGAGTGTAATGATACAGACTTTTCCAAAATCAATGTTGGCGTTATAAATGTGTGTAGGACTATTTGGCAGTGTTTTATTTCTTATTTGTTTTCAATGACGTTTATCTGCACAAACCAGACACTTGTCATTTTCCCCAAGTCATGTTCTTTGGGAAATGAAAAATCCAAACTTAGACTTTTAGACTGATTTTATATGGCCCATCATGAAATGAATTACTTCTCACATGAGTTGGCCATCGATATGAAATTGCAGTAGTTTGTGAGGTGAAATGAAATTTGATTTGCTTCGAAAACTTGACAATCTATTTCTGATTGCTTGACATTCCTTGCCAAGTCCATTGAGATCAATAGTGCTGGAGTACATCAGAGAATTTCTCATCATGTAGGAGCGGAGCGTGAGGGATATCAGAGACACTGATGGCCTGGTTGGTAGGGGAGGGAGACCTGTAGTAAGAACATCTCATTGTGTAGGATGCGGAGCATGAGGGGTATCAGAGACACTGATGGCCTGGTTGGTAGGGGAGGGAGACCTGTAGTAAGAACATCTCATTGTGTAGGGAGTGGAGTGTGAGAAGTATCAGCCACTGATGGCCTGGTTGGTAGGGGAGGGAGACCTGTAGTAAGAACATCTCATTGTGTAGGGAGTGGAGTGTGAGAAGTATCAGACACCGATGGCCTGGTTGTTAGGGGAGGGAGACCTGTAGTAAGAACATCTCATTGTGTAGGGAGTGGAGTGTGAGAAGTATCAGACACTGATGGCCTGGCTGGTAAGGGAGGGAGACCTGTAGTAAGAACATCTCATGGTGTAGGGGCGGAGCATAAGTAGCATAAGGTTCAATATAAGATTGTACATGTTGTTACCCTGCCTTGCACTCTGTATGAAGAGGATAAAACAAGACAGATAAGAAATAACTGCACCTGGGAAATTAGTATAAGGTTAGGTTCTGAACATTTTCAACCCGTGAAGATCCGGGGCAGAATAGGTCTTCAGCAACGCATGCTTGCAGTAAAAGGGGACTGCTTGTCATAAGAGGCGACTAACGGGATCGGCTGGTCAGGCTCACTGTCTTGGTTGATGCATGTCATCATGTGCCAATTGCGTGGATCGATGCTTATGATGTCAATCACTGGATTGTCTGGTCCAGACTAAATTAATTACAGACCCCTGTCGTATCGCTGGAATATTGCTGAGTGCGGCATTATAGAACAAACAACCAACCCACCTAACATTTTCTATTCTATCAGATAGATATTGACAATCTTATAATGACACAGCTTTTGTTTCCAAACAATTTCTAGTAATTACTATTAAGTGGAACGTAGGGATGATGGGGAGCTTGGTACTGAAGATCAATGATTGGTGTTCTTTGTGTTGTTTCCTGGATGGAAAGATGTAAGTGATTACCCCCAGCGTACATGATGTATGTACAGTGCACATGTCAGCGTTACGGTGTGGATATGATTAGGTGGTTGCAAAGCAGTCTTTCACGTTTCATTAAACTTACATCTACATGGATGTCAGAAAGTTTGCGGAGGTTATCAATCCTTGTGGTTCTGTTTTCTGCATGTGGTTGTGATTGAACATTTTTAAATTGTCAGTTGCTGTTTGTTTGGGGAAATCTTTGCCTGCATATGTAAACATTTTGAAACCCAAACTATTTAATGCTGGCAAACAGCGTGGTGATAGCACCAGCCAGTGTTTGGTGGGCATGCTGAAGACACAGGTTCGGATCCCCACATAGGTACAATGCATGATGTTCAACCCAGCTGCCCCTCTTATTGCTGGAGTATCCTTTTCTAAAAGTGTCATGACATATGCACATACAGTATGAAAAGTTATTCAAATATGTACTACGAATCCTTTCGAGATGAAAAAAGTGTGCCTACTTGAAAGTTCAGACCGCCCATGTCTGAGTGCCTTTGCTCAAAGATTCACTTTTAACAATGACATTTCTACCAATAACAAGCGGAAAGTTAAAGCGCATGCATAATGGTGAGTACATTAATGATAGCAGAACATGTCCAATGTTAGCACCCTGTTGACATCGGGAGGGCCACTAGGGAAGTCAAAAACATATTGCCAAGGAATTACAAATAGACCTGAGTAAGTCCCAAGAGGGCAAACTACGAATTGACTACCCAGTTCTCTGTCAATCATAGGGGCACGGGTGGCCCAGTCGTCTAAGGCGCCGCGATTCGCTGTGCAGAGTTGCGTCCCTTGAGCACGCCAGAAACCTATGATTGTGGGTTCGAATCCCGGTTCGCCCCGATTATGTTTCTAGGTTTGTCAGCACCATACCCGTGCTCGTGGGTTTCACCGAAGTGGTAAACGTCTGAGACCTGCATCACGTTGGGCTTTCCTCCCACATTAAGCTGACACGCCGCGATATAACTGGAATACTGTTAAAAGCGGCGTTAAACCCAACTCACTCACTCACTCTGTCAATCATAGCTATTTGGGGAGATCCACCACAACACAGTACAATGTTTCACAAGTGACCGACTCGAGGCCTTGTGACCGTGTCTGGCCCTAGTATAGAGTGAAGATGTCAGTCAACCTGTCTTCCCTGAGTAGCATTGTACAGGAGAAAGCTTTCACCATTGGTTCAATGGCTCAGTATCCTACCTCAAAAGGTAGCTATATCTGATATTTTGCTGACATTGTCGAACACTTCAGTGTGTGAAACCACTGTGAAGCAAACTAGCACCTGCTTCCATTGAAACTGTTCAGTGTTTTTTCACTTAACCTTCTTGAAATGTTACATTTAAAAACATGGGTGTGAATAAGTGATGATTCATTTTGAGACAAAAAATACATCGATGGCTGTTTAATCTCATCTGTGTAGACTTTGTTGTGAAGATTTCAGATTTTTCTTGATGTTTTTCTCTCCTGTGAAACAAATTGCCTTACTTGACAGTATTGCAGACAAAGTCTAGCCTTTTCAGTGCAATTATGTTATAAAAAATTAGCACCATGAAACACTTTTCCCTGCTGTTTCCATTCAAACGTTAAGGACACACTTTGCTCCTCAAATTAGAAATTTCTGCGATTCCCAAGGCAACTCAAGTATGAGACATTTATACTTAAGGGGCTGGATTAATGCTAATTTCTGTCTCTGCGATTATAATTTTCAG